TTTAAATTGTTAAAATCACATAAAATTGTTTAAATCACATACAATTGTTTAAATCACGTAAAAATCTTTCAGATATACCTTCATTTTTTAGGTGTTTCAGCGCCAATTCTTCTTTGTCTAATTTTTTTAATGATAACTCTAGCTGGCTCAACTTCATGGGAGATTTTATTATTTTAACAGCAGAGTCCCACAACTTATTGAACTTTGATAGTTGAAATTTTCCTTCAGAATTTACGCTTGAATGAGCAATTGCAAATAATTGCAAAATAAATCCAAAAGTCGACAACATAAATATATGCATTTTTAAAATTATACTGAAAACAAATATTTAAATATAAATAAGAAAATATATTTATTCAATTTAGCAATATGTATTAGCATTATTTATGCTTGATTCATAAATACAATACACTAATCACAATCTTTTTATCTCAAAGAATCATAAATATGTCTGTATTTATAAGATTTTAAACATTGGTGCAACAGAGAACACATACATTGACTGAGATATATATATACATATATATATATATATATATATATATATATATATATATATATATATATATATATATATATATATATATATATATATACATATATATATATATATATATATATATATATATATATATATATATATATATATATATATATATATATATATATATATATATATATATCATCTTTGCAATTACATCGCAAAATTGAAAGAAGTGTTTGTTTAAGTGTGAAAAGTTAGAAAAAAAAGTTTTATGAAGAAAAAGTAAATCAAAAAACATTTTGGTAATAAAAGTTTAAAAAATAAGTGTTAAACAAGAATAAAGGATTTAAATAAATAAAAATAGAAAAAAAATCCGAAACAAATAAAAACAAAGTTATAAGAAAATAGTCTCTGAAAATGGATAATAATTTTTGCTGCCGCCAATATTTTATGGAAGGTAAAGAAAAAAAACAATTTTAATTAATTTTGTACATAGTTTATAAGTCATGTATTTATGCATATAAAAATTGTTGAATGTATTTTTTTGCATTTTTCTGTCAATTTAGTTGTTGTTGCTTTATCTAAATCTTTACTATTGTTTTATTAATATTTACTTTTGTTTAGTTAATCTATATTAAGGCATAATATAGGCTTTAATATTGTATGTAGTAACGTATTTATATACTTTTTTTTATTTAAGTTTGCTTTTACTTTGGTTTTTATATTTTTCAGCAAAAATTTTTTGTCTCACTCTATCCTTTTGAACTTATGTAATTAAATTTTTGTTTTCTCTTACATTTTTTTTCTCACTCATCTTATCTCATCCGTTCATTCTCTCTTTTTTTTTTCTTTTTTTTTTAGCCTTACTCCTTGTTCTGATTCCAACTTTTTTAATGCTGTTGTTCCTATTACTTCTTTTTTTATTACTTGTATTAATGTAGTTTACTTTCTTTATTATTTCCTTGTTTTAATATTTTTTGTTTATTTTATTTGTTGATTTTATTAAGGTGTCACTCCATTGACTAGTTTTTAACTATATGAGTGACACCGAACCTAACTTTGTAAATTATAATTAAATTGTTAATTATAATTTGTAATATTTGTAATAACAAAATAAATTGTAAATTATAAATAAATTTGAATGTAATTTTTAATTTTATGGTTAAATAAATGGATAAAAAAAATATATATATAAATAAATATATATATATATATATATATATATATATATATATATATATATATATATATATATATATATATATATATATATATATATATATATATATATATATATATAGTTCTATAAACTGTTGGCTTTGAGAGTACGGAAGGTAAAAAATGATTCTTTTGACAAATATGTCACTTTTAATTACTTTTGACTTTCATCCAACATTTACGTATTGTAATAAAGTTAAAACCATTAATTTATTAGGAAATTATTCATTTTTTAAAAAAGCTGCAAAAACCAAATTTAATTGACCAATGTTTTTAAAAACATTCTGAATGTTTTTAAAAATATAAACAATTTTTTATTTTTAATTTTTTTAATGAAATGTTTTTATTTTCATTTTTTTTTCAACATCAACTTTAGTGTATATAGATAACAAGTTATTACTAGTTTTTATTGGTAATATGATAATAAAAATACAAAGTCCTAATCTGCAAACTTGGTGTAGTTTTTTTTTTTTTTTTTTTTATTTGCATTCACTCCCAACAAGGCTGCAAGCAACCACTATTAAGTTGGGAGTTACTAGGAAAAAAAAAGAACAGAGTTATAGAGCAAGGAAACGGTTGACAGAAGACTTAAAAAGTTGAAGGTTGTATGAGTCAGGAAAACATGAAGATGGGAGAGAGTTCCAAAGGATTGAAGTGCGGGGAAAAAAACTAGATGAATAAAAGTTTTTAGAGCATGCAGGGACAGATACAGAAAACGAATGAGACTTAGCTGAATGACGAGTAAAACGAGAATGAATTTTAGTTGATGGAACTAGAGATGATAACTCCTTTGAGCAG